TGAAAATGTGTGGCTGCCATCTGAGACACTCCAAGCCCCACTGGACATACCACTATGGCTTCCTGGGAGATCAGCCAGTGAAATGCCAACTATGTGGGCCCACAACCACCTGACCAGCGTCCCATGAGAGGACTATCCAACTCACATTCCAAATAATGGAATACTCATTGGCTAGGGTAATAGTGAAACCACAGGAATATACAGTAGTAGTCTGACCCACCAGTGTAACTACCTGAAGGCAGTTCAATGAAGCACTTATATGAGTCCCCCTCCTCTGAAACAACACGTAAATAGCTACCAACCCCATGAACAAAAAAGTTGGAGAAACAGAAGACAATGCCAGAAGAAGTCACGAACCTAATAATGTGCATATAAGAAGCAGACATTGGCCTGCCACAGAAATAAATCTTCAGAATGCTGCTTGGAGTCATACAGGATACGAGGGAAGCAATACAGAAAAATAATGAAATGATAGAGGAGATAAAGGCCACAGAACAAAGGGAAATACAAGACCTAAGGGATGAAGTAACAAAACAGTCGCAAATTAACAGACTTTGTCAACAGACTTGAAGAAGGAAAGAATAGCACCAATGACCTAGAGGATAACTTGGCAGACCAACAAACAGGAAAGGCAGTCAAATAAGACAATCAGAGAAGCTGAAGAAAACCTGAGAGCCATGTCTGATGCTATGAATAGGAACAATATTAGAATAATTGGACTACCGGAACAAGACATAACAAAGAAGTCAACAGCGAAAATAGTGAAGGAATTCTTAGAGGAAAACTTTCCCAGCTTAATAAATGAAAATCAGGCAATCATGCAAGAGGCTGAAAGAACACCAGCGAGATTTAAGCTCAAGAAGAAGTCACCAAGACACATGATAGTCTAAAATATCTAACTATGAGGAAGAGTAGAAAGTCATAAGAGCAGCTATGGAAAACAAATAATCTTAGACCTATCAGTGGGCACAGTGAAGAAGAGGAGGAAGTGGAGTAGCAGATTCCAAAAATTGAAGGAAAATAACGCAAACCCAAGAATACTATATCCAGCCAAATTATCTACTAAGATAGATGGAGAAGTGAGAGTCTTCCAAGACGAGAAAAACTCAAAGAATACATAAAAAGAAACCCAGTCCTAAAGATCCTTGCCAACCCAATAAGGGCAGAAGATCAACACTCACTGAGCAGAAATAAGAGACCGTTACATAGAACAACTCCAACCTGAGGGCGACAAATAGAAAACAGCACCCAAGATAGCATTAACTCAATTGTGGAAAAAAGGAAGGGATGAACCACACACACATACACAACACAAACTGATAAGATAGATAGGAAAACACCTAACACAAAAGGTACAAGATGACATCAGAGTCTATAGATGGAAGTAATAACACCGAATATCAATGGACTGAACTCAGGTATTAAATGGCAGAGGCTAGCAGACTGGCTTAGAAAACATAACCCATCGATCTGCTGCCTACAGAAGACACATCTAAAGCTTACAGACAAAAACAGGAGGAAAATATACCAAAAAAAATTGCAATTCTAAAAAAGCAGGGGTAGCAATCTTAATCTCTGACAAAATTGATCTAAAGCTCTGACAAAATTGATCTCAAGATTCGAACCATAACAAGACACAAGGAGGGGCACTATATAATGCTCAAGATAACAGTAGACCAATAACATGTGAGCATAATAAATTTATATATATATATACCCAACGAGAGACCCGTGAAATTCATACTGCAAACACTCCAAAAGATGAAAAAAGAAATCACAGGCTCAAAAATTATAGTAGGTGACTTTAGTACACCACTCACTGAAAAAGACAGATCACAGGGAAAGAAACTTAACAAGCAGGCTAGAGATCTAAACAGCACAATTGGACGACTTGACCTGATATTTTCAGAGCTTTCCAAGCAAAATAAAAACATTCACATTCTTTCCAAGCCCACATGGCACATACTCAAAGATAGAGCACATGTTGGGACACAAGTTGAACCTGAGTAAATTAATGCACATAGAGATTATACAGACTTCTCTCTACGACCACTATGCCATATGGATGGAAATCAACAAAAGGACAATGAAGAAAACAA